CGCTGCCGTAGTCTCGTATACTAGACAAGCAAACAAAAGCTTCGTAGGCCGTCGTCTTCCATACAAGACTAAAAACGTGTACTTAAAAATATGAAATACACATAGTAACCAATGTATTTTGGTCATTTTAATTATTTAATATTATTTCAAATATGCAAAGATTGATATCTCTCATGAGATTACAACTCATTTCGTCTTATAGATTAAAATATTAAAATGAACTCTGTATTTGATATGAGTTTCATGGATTTTAAATATTCGTTAGTTAGTTTATAATATTCCAATGAGAGGTCTTTGTGATTTCTGTGAAGACTATTATTACATTCAAATGCTATCGAACATTATTATTTCTTGCCTCGCACAGCCGCGCGGTGGAACGGTCTGTCCTCGGCGGTATTTCCAAACCAATACGACTTAGGGACCTTCAAGAAGCGAGCATACCATTTTCTTAAAGGCCGCCAATGCATCTGCAGTTCCTCTGGTGTTGCAGATGTCCATGGGTGTCGTTGTTCACCCCGGTGTTCCGGCCGCTCGTTTACCCCTTCTCTTATAATAATAACAAACACAATCACTATTATTTGTTTTCCATAGGCGAGGTTAAGGTTATATTAATTTTCATATAGATGTGACATCGCAACGTCGCAAATAAATATTGAAATGTTTATATAACTTGCACGCCACTTCATCCGGGAAGATGTACAAATATTTATAAAAGAAAATACACGCTTTAATCTAGGAGTTAAAGTGTACTTGTGGAAATTCATTTATTATGCTCGCTACCTTGCATTGGCCGTGACAATAACTCGACATTTCAAAACACTGGCGACAGTAACTGATCGTATTACATTATGTCAATGTTACAGTAGAATTCCACTGCCGTTAAACATGCAGTACAACAATATTGTCATCTCTTACAATATCTTTAAAGTAAACAGATATAATAATCTTACTTCTTACCCCTTATTTTGTCTACTGCCCACTTTAAGAATAAATTTTTTTTTAGCGCCCTCATATTTTCACATATTTAAAAACCACTATAACTTTAAATTAAATTAATTAATTATTGTGACCTATATATGTATATTAACGGAGAATTCTAAACGAAAATTTTACTATAACCCGCAACTTGAGACGTGCAGCGCCCACAAGGGGGCGTTATCGCCCACTTTGGGAAACACTGGTTTAGATGGATGGATGGATAGATGGATTTTTGTTTGATGGTATCTCTAGAACGGCTGAACAGATCGATGAAATTTGGAATACATATAAAATACAGTCTGGAAAAACCCATAGCCTACTATTTTTTGTTTAATTCCTCGCGGACGGAGTCGCGGTTGACAACTATACTTATTAAGATGCAGGTAAAATTTAATACATACACAGAAAATTCCAGAAACTAAAATTAGATTCAAAAGAACTTACAATCTGCATAATAAATTATAAAGTTGGAGTGAAATCGCCTGAAAACTAGTGACAGACAAAACTCATTAGGCTAATAACACTGTATAATGATTATGGTGTCCTTATATTTAGTCGATACTACTGTTTTAAATTATAACGCAATTAAATAAATTATTTTAAAATTAAAGTTATGTTAAAATATTGTTAAAATGTTAACTTTTTAATGCCATCAGTATCCTCTTAGAACTCGTACTATATTAAAGTAAAAGTGTAGCGTTTGATAACATTTTTGCAGTTTGCATAAACGCGTAGAACACACATATTTATTAATCTAAAATTCTTAATAAGTAATGTTTGTAAACAATATTTTTGTCTCTATGTATTAAGCACGTAAGAAACGCTAGTTTTCATATCCAGAGAGAGAATAGGTGTGCATCTACTTTGTCTACTGTCCTATATTATGTTGCAGAGTCTATAGATAGAAGACATATGCTTGTTAGTTTGCTTCTTTCTTTATATCAAAACTAAATTTTTATGTACTTTTTGTTTTCAGGCAAGGACGGTTCAAAGGTGACGACTGTGGTAGCAACGCCGGGGCAGGGCCCCGACCGGCCATTGGAGGTTAGCTATTCGGATATGAAGCTGATCGGAAATGGCAGCTTCGGCGTCGTTTACCAGGCCAAACTGTGCGATAGCGGCGAGCTCATTGCCATCAAGAAGGTGCTCCAGGATAAAAGGTTTAAGGTATGGAATTTGTATATCAGTATCCGGTTTTCATCTTTCAAATCTATTAGTTGTCTTTTCAACTGTAACTTATGAATATTAATTAATTCACGTAATAAATTCGTTTCTTTTTAGCCACTTTTTAAATATTATATTTTTATGTATAGAATGAGAATGCTAATTGATTGGTTATATATCTCTATTTGATTCAGAATAAAAGGAACTTCAACATTTCAGATATCAGAGGATCATTAGGGTATTCCGTTTTTTTTTTCGGACTTTAGATTTGTAGTGGCGTCTTCCTACGTATTATAATTTTATGTATAGCACAATTTCATTATTCTAATTGACATTGTTTCGTTGTTCCAGAACCGAGAGCTTCAAATCATGCGACGACTGGAGCATTGTAATATTGTCAAACTGAAATACTTCTTTTACTCCAGCGGAGAAAAGGTATGGTTCTATTCAGTACTCGTTATTTATCTAAAGGCCAATTTTTCAATCGGAGTTCCTGATCTCTAACATAATTAAGAGTATTCATTTAGCAATTTTTGTCTTGTCTTTTATTGATATAGTCTTCCGAAAAATCTGCCTTTGTTATTTCGGACCGTTGAATTTTACCCACAGGCTTGTTGTGAATGAAAATAGTAAAGCTATGTTTTACATTTTTAATACACATATTTAGAGATTATGAAATTGTAACAAGTAAATTGTATAGAAATTCTTGAAGTGAAAAATTGGCCCTTAATATTTTTATATATATAAAAGCCTTCCTATATCTTGACGGGCTTTTGGTTAAATTGATTGTTTTATTTGGGATAAGGTGTCAGTGGCCGCAGCTGTTAGTCCACTACTAAATGCGATGCAGTCTTTTGATGTCGCAGTATGTCACAGTCAGATATTAAGCTAGTGTGCTAACGCACATAGATCTATAAACTCCTAGACTAGGCTTGCCGATAATTATTGTATCCAATCACAATGGACATAATCCATATGAATTATCGGTCGGTGGCCTGGCATTGTGCAGTGTTTTATCCCTATATCATCGGCCAGGGCTTTCACTTGCGATTATTGAATACACGATCATCGGAACACGTCAGATGTCGCGGCAGTTTGCTTGCTTTTTTTTTAGATTATCGTAATCATATCTTCGTCACTAATAGCACATCGTATTATTGAAATTACACGTTCTAATGTTTGCAAATGTCATTTTCAGAAAGGCTCGGAAGCTATTAGAATTATATCTTTTATTACCAAGTTATATATAGGTCTAAATTACAGATCTTGCGTTACACATATTATACGTGACAACATTTTTGTAATTAAAAACTGTTGGTACACAATTTTTTTTACTATAGATAGTTTTTTTCACTGTATTAACAAATCGCTTCGCTATTGTAAATACGATATTAACATTGTTGTGTTTCATCCGTAGCGGTAGCAAAATTGTACAGAATTTTATTATAAATATTTTCTTATTTCTAAACCTTTACCAAATATCCCGTTGTTTAGTTCAAGGTAAGACAATATTTGTCGCCGCACTCTGGAGCCAAGATCCTTTGGATGTTTGCCAAATTAGTTTGTCTTATAGTACCTATTTACTGACTTTATAACCATACTGTTTTATGTGGCGCGTCAATTTATATTCATATTTACATAGCTATCGTTAAAATAGCCGTTATTTATGCAGTTAACTGGATTAGTTGGTTGGGTATCGGTGTTAGGTGTTTAAGCCATTTTTATATTGTGATGTTGGGCTTCGGCGTTACATAATTTCATGGTATGACTTCTTTTGGTGTATGGAATGCAAAAAAAAAATCGTAATATATAAACGACAACTTGCTTTTGGGCACGTTGGGAGCTAGACGGTAACTACTCGGATTTAACGTGAACTGTGAATCGTAAATTAGTAAATAAAATATAAAACAAAAGTAAATAACAGAAGTCTATTCTTTAGTTTCTTTAAAAATTTTGCGTAAGCTTGATAGTATAGGCCGTTTCAATGTCTTTGGCGGCTCAAGGTCACTGCGCGCTGCGCAATGCCCTCCCCCCACATCCCTTTACGCCCCGCTACACCAACAAGTTTGTACTACGCACCAACTCGCACGATGTTCCGAGCCGCCAAGATATTTGAAAACCTCAATGATAAGTATACCGCTAATTTCTTTATACAATGCTCATACGTACAAAATTAAAATCTATGTTATATAAATTATTACAACATTAGATAAGTAATCAAAATATTTTATAATCTTCTATTGTTAGGCTTACAGATGGGCGATGAATATTTATATAAATGTATAGGCGATATAAAAATATTTTTCTCCATACAATCTTGAGTATTAGTATAACATAGTTGTAAGGAAGTTATTAATTTGTCCGTGTTTGCTTGCAGAAGGACGAAGTGTACCTGAATCTGGTGCTGGAGTACATACCCGAGACGGTGTACAAAGTTGCACGTCACTACTCCAAAGATGAACAAACCATACCCATTAGTTTTATAAAGGTAGGTTTGGCTAGACCTTTGGATATAGATGTTATCCAAAGGGGTCGAGTCTACTGTCCTCATTCATGAACATGAAATCCTTAATCTCTAGACCTCTCACTTTGTACGATATTGTATTATAATAGATTTGTTGGTATTTTCCAGCTGTACATGTACCAGTTGTTCCGGAGCCTGGCGTATATCCACTCGCTGGGCATCTGTCACCGGGACATCAAGCCGCAGAACCTGCTGCTGGACCCCAAGACTGGCGTACTCAAGCTGTGCGACTTCGGCTCCGCCAAACACCTCGTGCGCGGCGAGCCTAACGTCTCCTACATCTGCTCGCGTTACTATCGCGCGCCCGAGCTCATCTTTGGCGCAATCGATTATACCACTAAGATTGGTGAGCACAAATATACATATTTTATTTAATATAGCTATCGCCCCCGACTCTGTTCACGCGAAATAAAAAACTTAATTAGTAAACATATGTTCTTCTAAGCTACGTTCTACGTGTATCCCAAATTTCAGCGAGATCTATGCAGCCGTTCTGGAGATACCTTCAAACAAACATCCATGCATCCATCTAAACTTTCGTATTTATAATATTAGTAAGATGAACGTGAACTTGTGTGTGGTCAGACGTGTGGAGCGCGGGCTGCGTGGTGGCGGAGCTGCTCCTCGGACAGCCGATATTCCCCGGAGACTCCGGGGTCGACCAGCTCGTTGAAATTATTAAGGTAACTTATTCTTAATTTCTGGAAAAGGCTTCTATGCCAATATTGGGTGCAGTTTGTAGTTTTGATGATTTAAAAAGAAAAAAAACGATGACAAAAAAATTACATTTCCATTTTATAAAATTTTCACAGAGTCCTTTGACGAACAATTCTGTGTTTGTTATCTATTACAAAGTAAAAAATATGTTTTCATCGTTTCCAGGTCCTGGGCACACCGACACGCGAGCAAATCCGCGAGATGAATCCAAACTACACAGAATTCAAATTTCCACAGATCAAAAGCCATCCCTGGGCGAAGGTCAGTACGCTAACAATAACAAATTTGTTATTATACACTATTTATATATTCATTTATTTCATCAATATTAAACAAGATGGTAAATATTTCGTCTGAAAGTTGTTTTTTTTCATTATAACTTAGGTGTCGTTCATTGATCAAGTGATAATATTTTTAAAAAATTTGCGCCAACCCTCCCTTCATCAATCCTTTAACGTTAGGTGATATTTGGTTAGGTTTCACACTCCTTCCTTTATACCTTAAATCCTGTATTTTTTTAGTACCAGCTAATATTGAAATTTTGAAATAATTAAATTTACGTCATCAGTCAGAATATAAATACACGTAATATTTTAATAGTCCTCCTTGTTCCTCGTGATTTTTCATGATTTTTTGGAATACTTCCCCCCCACCCTTGAGCCCCATATCGAGCTTCACGTGATTAATGGACGATTCCTTACTTATAAATAAAAATACGATAGAAATTGTAATAAAATGCTAATATTTATCGTATTTAAATTTGTGCGGTGTTATGTTTGTAGGTTAATATAATTAGTATAGAGATAGTTGATTAGTACTACTACATTACAGTACATGCTGGAGCGTATGACGATGCCCAAGTCGGCCACTGATCATCAGCGCATTCGAGTAAGGCAACGTTGTACACTAACCTAAATGCCTCCATTACACTATGTATAAACCATCTACATTATAAAACTCCCTTTCCACTAGCGCATTCACCGCGCGACTACAAAGTCTCATCGACGCTTAGTGGAAAAGGAGTCTTAAGTTCATTAAATTCATTGTATTATCTTAAATACTTCATTATAACAGTTACTAATGTGAGATGCAAACTTATTCTCTGCTTGTTTTTGAATTTAAAAATGAAGGCATTTAGTATTTATTCACATTTCTTGTCTACCGTCACACAGTTTTTTTTTTACTTTTGTAATATCTACAGAAAAATAATCTTTCAATCTTAATTTCACGCAATTTTTACGAAGTCTTTGCTTAGTACAGTATTTTATATAAATTAAGTTCAGAGTTAACTTACACTATTACACTTTTTTTAATTTGAAATGTGAATAAAGAAAAAAATATTGCCCGGCATGGGTTAACTAGAAAACACAACATATATGTAGTCGAGATCTTAGTTGTCGGGTCGTCTGCTATAAATCTTTGAAAACTAAGAAAGTCATCGTCATAAAAACTACACTACATTACTTTTTTAATATTACTAAAAACTCATAGTTGTATTTTAAACATTGGCCCAGTCAACTTCGATTGATTCTATAACAAACAGTAAACGCAAATATTTGCATATCAATTTTTTGGAAAGTAAAAGATCCGTTAATTATGTCTTCGTAAAGCGCCATCTCTGTCACTCCCTCTATATATGACAAAGATAGCGCTCTACTAAGCCATACGTAACGGTTTGTCTCTTTCTAATGTGAGATGTGCGATGTTTACAGCAGTTTACTTTATACTTCATAATCTGTTGCTGCCAAATTTCTTGTTTGTTGTTGGTGTTCAGTGTGTTCGACTTGAGTGAAGTTCTTGTTTTTTTTTATTTAAATAATTTACAATTTGTAATTTTAATTGAGTGGTTGTATACTTTGTTAAATCGTTTTTTTTTAAATGCGCTACACTTCTTTCTATATAAATTCGGGTTGCTGTTGTAATTTGCAATTACAATTTATTTATGTAAAATGTGCGGAATACACAAAAGAATCTTATATTGTAAATATGTATAAATTTTTGTATAGTATATATACACTTGACAATAACTTGTATGAAGACAATCACATCATGCAAAATTGTTTAAATATTTTTCTATCCTTTACATAGAAGTTTATTTCTCGGTGAAGTCGGATGTCCGAGCCATTTACAAAGTATAAAACATCAGATAGCAAGGGTAAAGCAGATTAGATGAAACTTTGAATTGTGCATTATCTTTTTTGTGTCATGATATCCATGGGTATTGATGTTAACGCAACGTATGATGCTTTTTTATATAAAGAAGGTCGTAAGTAATGTAAAGGGTATGTTATGACAGGTGTTCCGCGCGTGCACTCCGCCGGACGCGATCTCTCTGGTGTCTCGGCTGCTGGAGTACACGCCGGGCGCGCGGCTCTCCCCGCTGCAGGCGTGCGCGCACAGCTTCTTCGACGAGCTGCGCGAGCCCGCCGCGCGCCTGCCCAACGGCCGCGCCCTGCCCCCGCTCTTCAACTTCACCGAGTACGAGCTCGCCATACAGCCCTCGCTCAACGAGTTCCTCAAGCCGCGCGCGCCCGCCGCGCCCAACGACGCGCCCGGCGGCTCCGGCGCCGCCGACCACGCACATGAGGCCCAGGGTAACTAATGCAATCATCATTCAATTAAATATGTCATCAGTAATTACGACATTAATAATATTTATAGTGAATTAATTGCTTTTTGAATTTAGCTAAATCTGAATTGTCTAACAGCAGACAACGCTGCGGCGTGCGGGCCGAGCGGCGGATCGCCGAGCGCGTCGTAGACGGCGACGTAGCCCACGCCCACGTCCGCGCCCGCGCCCACGACCTCGACCGTCGCCCACGCCCACGCCTGACCTCATCGCCTCGCCCGCGCGCTGATCCCCGACGCCCGACAGACTATCGCCACTCTAAATGCATTTAGAGCGACCGTTCCTCGTACCTCAGTCGGTCGGTACCCGTACCCGGTACAAATGTATGGTACACTCGTCCGTTGTCGGAACGTGTCGGAACATGTCGGATGCGATCGGAACTAAGATGGGTATTTCATATGCTATTTAGTGATAGTATTTTTATTTTCGTGTTGGCCATCGGGTAAAATTATATGCATAATAGGTGTTTTCAGCGAGCAGTCGTGTGATATCGTAGTGTTTATGTGGAAAAGCTTGAGCTGTCGCAGTCGGTGAGAAGGGTAAAATCCGCAGTAGACTCTTTACCGTCTCCATGTGATTACTTTGTACTTTTGTAAGCTCAAATTTTTTTTTATGTAAATACCTTAAAACTGCGTTTTTAAATTAATGATTATTTTTGGTGAACGTCAGATTAAATATCTGGATAAATGGTATTGTTTTATATTTTACATTGTATTTGCTTATTTTTCTGTCGTTTAGTACATTTTATTGGCCGCGATGTACTCGGCGAGGTATACCTATCACATAGACGGGGAGCGATCGTTGTAATATTTTACAATAAAACGAGGGGAGGGATTGCTGCATGATCCTTTGGACCTTTTCGCTTGGGCCGTGTAATCAGTAGGGAAATATTCTAGTAGTGCTTTAGAATATTTATAATTGGATTGTATCACTTACCGATGAACTTTTACGAAGGTAGTTCGCTTTCAATGATGGAATTATAGCAAATGGAACATTTTCTTGCACTCAAAATGCGTACTTGTACATTTTTATAACTAGCATAAACTGATCTCTCAAGATAATTTGTAATTTTTATTGATATCTCAGAAATATTATGTATTTGTACAATTCAAACGATATAAATTTTAGATTAACTAAATGGTATATTCGTTTATTCGGGCAACTTCGAAATTAGTAAAAAAAAAATGTTTTTTATTGCGGTGTATCTTACCTTGTCTTATCTAGGGGCCGGATAAATATAAATTGTATTAATGAATAGCACTGTCTGTCGATGTCCTATTGTAATGTCATAGTTTTTCGATTATATTGTATTCTATATTATAAAGGATATTTCTGCTATGTAAAATTTGTCATTTAAATCACATTATTAGTAGTCATTTATGAAGCGAGTGTTTAAATAATTAAATTCATTGTCATAGTTTTTAAGCTTTCATTAAAATTTTATTTCCGCACTACGAGTTGGATACGGTTACAAATTAGTGGAGGTTTATAAAGAAGCCTTTAAGTGTAGGATAATTGAATATTTAATTGATGGTTTAGATGTAGCCCGATGAAGTGACATGTCGTAGTTCTGCGCCGGCCGAACTCGCCCCTTGGATTGCGATGCACTCACAAACATTGCCACATGGAAAAAAATGTTAAAATTTGGAATACTAACAACAAAACAAACTAACAGATTTTAATGTTTACAGTTTTTAGACATTTTATCCACAATTACTAATAATCATGGCAGTTGTCCCATTGAGTCTTATTTACGAAAAACTTTGTTTTTTATTACGTTTAATAAATTATATATGTGCTTACTAGCATGTATTATGTTTATAACATTTGCATAATGTTTTCTTGCAATTTTATAAAAATTTTAAAAGCATGTGTAATGAATAACTTTATTAAAATATATTTTATGATTAAAAAATGTAATATTTAGCGGCATCTAACATGTCTGATCATTGACGCTTCAATCTAAATGATATTGTTACGATACAATATGTAAAAATAACAGTGACATTGGATTGTTGTATGGAGTGAAGCAGAGCGAGGTCTCGTTTAGAAGATATTGGCATGACTTTGACGCGCTTGGCTGACGGCACGCATCCATTGGGAAGTCCCGTGTAAATTGGCGGCGGCCAAGTATATAATAAAAATTGTATTACTATAGGTATGTACTAATTACGTATAAATTTGTAGTATTTTAAGATATATAACGCGCTCGGCGCACGATTTGAAATCACACATAGCGGAGCTTAGTTGTCCCTAAGGCCACTGATTTGCTGACACCTTTATAGTTCGTGTAAATATAATTACCTTTATAATATGACTCTGAGTATCGTATCGGGCGGCAGTCGCGGCCGCCTGCTCCTCGCCGTGCCGTGCCATGACGTGACGTCACGTGCCGTGTCGTGTCGTGTCGTGCCTGCATCGACCGCGGAAACGGCGAGGATTAAGATAGTTTAGATACGCATATTTTATTAAGTCTTATTCTAATATGAATTTTGTAATCGACGTCGCTTCTAAAACCCTCTGTGTAAAAAGTTAAGACATACTAGTGACCTGAATGTTTGAAGCTGTGTTGTCGGAACGTCTCTATCCCACTGAATTCTCACTTACGATTCGCGTGCACTTTAACTGAATTGCGAGAGAATTGTCCGTCGAGTATTACGATTATCTACGACTCATACAAAAAATACACACTTCGAAATGGGGTTGACTTTATAAATTATTTAAAGTGGAAAAGAGTTTTCTTATTACTAGTACTGTAATATTAAATTTAATAGTGAGTGAAAAATTGTATTTTGTTTTTAATTTGTTTTATTGAATTTGAATACATAGTAACACCCATATCGTTGTTAGTTATGAATGAAAATAACATAATTATAAAAGTAAATATTAAATGAATAGTAAATATGGTTTTTTTTATTTTGCACCTCATACGGAAAACAAGTCGTGAAGTAAATACGAAATCACAAATTAAGGGCAAAAACTTATCATTGACAAATTATCGTTATTAAATATTATGAGTTAATTTTTAATATATTATATAATAATAAAACAATGAACTGTTATATGAATTATTTAAAAACATTTAAATTACAATATCGTTTTTTTCTCAATAATTGTACAATCATTAACATTTCGATTGACCATATCGAAATAAATTTAAGGAGATGGTCCACAATAATGTGATTTTATTTCCATTACTTTACTCACTTTTTCACTATTAATATTTGATGTTAATATATTAGCAAAGTTGTTTAGTAACAACGGTAATAAGGTAATGACGCAGTTTCATCAGCTGCCTGCAATTGCATGATATACATATATGTATTTTTATCTGTTTTTGATCGTAATTAAACGAAAATTGATTTAACCGGTATCGACTTGTTTTATTTTTGTATTTTTCAATTATTTATTTGAATTGTCTGAAACCGTGGATTTGCAGTGTTGAAACAAGCAATGAAAAACATCTAGTCATCCCTCTTATCATCCTAATATGTTGTTGGATGTTTGTTGCTAGGTATCTCCAGAACGGATGTAGAACACAGCCTTGAAAACACACATGCTACTTACTAAGATTTTTTATTTCCGCGTGAACAAAATTGCGGGCTAATATGTTTTTGAACAAATGTTTTGCTAGTGGAAGCTGGTGGAAGCCTTAATATGATCTTACCAATATTTAATGCTTAAAAGGTGTAGTAACACACCCACAAGTTTGAAGAAAAAAATGAGAAAATATTGAGGTAGCATAAGCTGTGGAGTCGATGGAACTACAAAAGGGTAGAAAAGGGTACCGATGAAAGTGTTTTTTTTCAGAAAACAAAAAAATCATGCTTATCAAGAAATACCTATACTTACAAGACACACATTACTTATAAAACTAATTTTGATATAATTTTCTTTATTTCTTCGTTAACTCATCGCTGGGTTCAAAACAGGACCGGCAGATTACAAATCTGGTGCTCTACTATGGTGCTCTGGTTCTTCTTATGTCTTCTTAACTGCTGCACCGCAGATGCTTATATTTTTCATTGTTTTTTTATCTGTAAGTTATAGTAAAACACAGTTAAAATAAAATGCTGTATTCTTTATCTGTGGTAAATAAACGTCAGTTTCCAAAATGTCAAAACACCAACAATAACAACCACAATAAAATCGAAATATATGTGGAAAAATATATGTTTTCGTCTTTTATAATGAAATTATATTGATATGATTACATTACTGAAACAAATACATTAGTAGTGTTCATAAGAATTAATCACTGAAAAGAACGACGTTTATCGCGGCTGTTGTTCTAAGATTATCTCTTTAATTTATTTGAAGCTGTATAAAATAAAAATAAATCATGCATGAGGCTTATGAGGCGTCACATTTGCTAAATGCAACTGTTCAGATCGAGGCTATTGCAGCTTATGGTGAGTTTCTTGTTATTTACCCACCTACCTATAGCTATATATATCTCATCAACATTATTTGTACATAAAATAACAAACCAAAAAATCCTATTACTTTTAGATGACAACTTATTGTTGGGTACAAGGCAGGGTCACCTATTGATGTACTCACTATCAGCCACCAATGGAAATCAAAAATATGAGTTGCAACTTCTTCGGTATTGCAAGAATTTTAGTAAAAAACCTATTCAGCAAATTGAAGTTATACCTGGTATGTATGTAATAAAATATCCCTTACAGGGTGTTTTGATAAATTCTCTTTTATATTTCACTGAATAATCGAGGGATAGGAAAATATGAAGTTGATTAATATTTTTATTTGTTATTTCCAAGTTTGTTGGATATGTAATATGTTGTTTATATATTTACAGAGGACAACCTGCTGTTATGCCTCACAGATAATCTTTTATCAACATATGATATAAATGGAGTAAATTTTCCATTTATAAAATCAATTCCACAAACTAAAGGTGCATCATTATTTGCTTTAGATAAAAAGGTAAACTAAATGAACATACCATATTTTATAATAATCTTACTAATATGTTACTAATATTATAAATGTGAATGTTAACATGGATAGATGGATGGATGGATGTTTGATGAAATTTGGCATACATATAGAACATAGTCTAGAACACATAAGCTACTAATTAAGTTTTTTTTAAATTCTGTGCCAACGGACTCATGGGCGACTACTAAATAATAATATTTAAACTTAAACAAATGGGCAATTTTAACATACTCTAATTTTTGAAATACAATTTTCTAATTACTTTTAAAATTTTATGTTCACATTTAATTTCAGTGTGCAACATCCATGACAGGTGAATCTAATTCAGTTGTACATCTATGTGTGGCAGTGAGGAGAAAACTTCAAGTATATTATGGTAAAAATGGTGAATTTAAACAACATCAATTTGAATTCACTGTTCCTGATGTGCCCAAAGTAATGGCTTGGGGCCAAGAATATTTGTGTGTTGGATTTAAAGGGGAATACACTCTGTTTGATGTAAGAAACAATTGCAGATAGTTATTTAAAGTTTTATTTATTAATATAGTTAAATAAAATATTCTATATCATTATTTTCAGCTTTCTTCTGGTAAACCAAAAGAGTTGTTTCCTACAAGTAGTTCCCGTTCATTAGAACCAACAATAGCCAAATATTCAGACAATTCATATCTACTCGGTAGAGACAGCACTTCTGTACTTGTTGAAGAAGCCAAAGATATTGAGATAAAGAAGACCATCAAATGGG